GGTAGCCCCAGGAGTCGCTTGGTTTGCAGCTGCATCACTTCAGTCTCTGCTTCTGCTGTCACATGGTGCTGTCTCTGTGCTTCTGTGTCTTTCCATTTTATGAGGACAAGAGACACTTTAGATTAAAAGCTTACCTCAATAAACTTACCTTAACTTGATTATATCTGAAAAGGCCTCTTTCTTTTTTCTTTTCTTTTCTTTTCCTTTCTAGATGTAGTTTCACTCTTGTTGCCCAGGCTGGAGTGCAGTGGCATGATCTCGGCTCACCGCAACCTCTGCCTCCCAGGTTCAAGCAATTCTCCTGCCTCAGCCTCCAGAGTAGCTGAGACTACAGGCACTGCGACCATGCCCAGCTAATTTTTGTATTTTTATTAGAGATGGGGTTTCACCATGTTGGCCAAGATGTTCTCGATCTCCTGATGTTGTGATCTGCCTGCCTCGGCCTCCCAAAGTGCTGGGATTACAGGTGTGAGTCACCGCACCCAGTCACACAGGCCTATTTCTAAATAAGGTCGCATTCATGGGTACTGGGGATTAGGACTTCCACATTGCTTTCTGAGGAACACAATTCAACTCTTAACAAACCTGAACCACTGCAGTCTTACCGTTTTCCCACATACCATTCATTGGTTACAGTTGTTTTTCCCCGAATTCCATCTTTGTCCTTCCTCTCCCAAAGCTCTAATTTGCAAAGGCATCTGAGCCATCCTCAGCAAACCCAGTTTTCTCACCAACACACTGTCATTGCTTCACCTCTCTCTTCAGTAGATTAGTCATCTCTGGAAAAAGACTTTAAAAATGAGTTCTCTCTCTTTGCCCTGACACCAAGTTCATTTTGCCCTCAAAACTCTAGGCTAAACAGGACCTTTGAGATAAATTTTGCATTAGTTTATTTCTACAAATGAATATTCCATAACACAGTATTTAATGTCACTGGGCAGCCTCTTACTCATGCAGTTGCCAGCAAATTCCCACCAAGTTGATGTCAGAATGTGAAATTAGTGACTAATAAAATGAAACAGACAAAAGGAGAATGCTGAGTTATAGAAGGGATAAGCAGGATATATGAATATCATTAGCTGTTCCTTAAAGAACATTTATGTCATTACATGAATGTGAAAATGCAATGCAGTATTTTAGAATTTCACCAGTCACTGGAATGCTCTGAAGCAGATGGACTGTGTGACTGATGATTCAATAATTGCACTCATTAAAAATGTTCACGCTTTTAATTTCTTCACAGCCTTCATTCCCCCAACCCATTCTGTGAAGATCTGAGGAATAAAATGGTTTTGCCATTTTCAGCAGATAGATAATAATTGAATTTGCTTTGATTTCCTGGGGTGCCCCTGTCCCACCTCTGGGTTCCTGATTGACAGCTCATAAGCCTAGTAAAATATTGGAACCAACCCCAGCTGTCTCAAAGGCAAGAGATACCAGGCGATCATCTTCCTACTGCCTTTATTATCTCACACAGTATCCTACTTCACACATAGATAGAGTGTGGGTTTGTGTCTCCCCATGTTTCTACACCACAAATCTCAGGCATGGAAAATTGAACTGACAGCTTTGAATTCAAGTTCCCTACTTGCAGCCAAGAATAATCACAGTGTGGATGGGAGGTAGGCGGTGGGTGGGAGGAGTCAATAGCTGCAGCAGTGATGTCAAGATGGGTAACAGAACTCAAATACCTATGGTTATAGCCACGTGCCTGTAGAAACCACAACATCTGTAGAGCAATACAATGGTTTAGGAAGGGTTTAACATTGGCTGAACTCAGTAAGAATAAAACTTTTTTTCTCATTATGTTCATTTATTTGTTACATTCATTCGTTAGACAGAAAGGGCATTATCCATTAGCAAGAGATTCTGGTCTGACTCATACCACTAACCAGCTGCATATCCTTTACTTCGCTAGCTTCATTATGCTCAGGCCCCAGGTCTAAAGCTCTAAAGCTCTATGATTATATAAAATATTGTCTGCTTACTCATTGGAAGGTGCAGGTGGCAAAGAAACACTGACTACAGTACTAGTCCTTCTTTAGAAGCCCATGTTCTCACTGGGGAGATACATCATAGTTGCATACACAAAATAATAACATCCTAGAAACCAGCTGAACTCCTTTACCTAAAGGTGTGACAGTGAATGAGGTGATTTCAGGGAAAAGAGATAAAGACCTTGGGGTCAGGGAGGTTTTAGAGTAATACTCTTTGAAGCAGGGCTAGCATTTGAGAGAGAGGGAAGAGGTAAAAGGGGCATACTTGGGAAAATAGTTTGAATAAATGTTCAGGATTTGGGATGAGTCAGATATCTTAGGGCAGATTAATGAGTGGGCAGGTTGACTGTTGCAAAAGTTTCTTGGGGCTAATAGGACTTATTATAGAGCAATACCAAGCTCCCAATATAAGAGAGAACCCTAAGCCTCTTCCTCAACTTCCTTAAAATCTCTATTCAGGATTGAAAGGGGTTGGGTTCACATAGAGAAAAGTCTTAAAGGCCACATAAAAGATTAGAGTCTGTAAGCAAAAGGGTGTAATTGAAAGCTTGTGAGAGGAGAGTAACATATGATTAGGGGAAGAATGGGAAGTTTCGGTACAGAGTAGCCTGCAGGATGGATCACAGGAGGTTGGACTAAAGGCAGACAGCTTACCTCAAGAAGTCAGTAATGGAAAACCAGACATTGTATGTTCTCACTCATAAGTAGAAGCTAAACTATGAGGATGCAAAGGCATAATAATGATACAATGGACTTTGAGGACTCTTGGGGAAAGGATGGGAAGGGGGTGAAGGATAAAAGAATACAAATTGGCTTCAGTGTATACTGCTTGAATGATGGGTGCACCAAAATCTCACAAATCACCACTAAAGAACTTACTCATATAATCAAACACCACCTATTCCCCATAAACCTATGGAAATAATTTTTTTAAAAGAATGGAATCCATAGTGAAATAAATTTACACATTAATAGAATAAAGGTTTTGGGATGATCCTTAGCTAAAAAAAAAAGTCGGGTATGATAAGGACTATAACCAGAGCAGGGTAGAGGAGAAAGAAATGAATTTGATTCTCCAGCAACATTCTCCTATTTGCAAATTTTGCTTTCTCTTTTATATTAAGATTCAAATTTGTCATTGTGTGCTCAGTGTCAGTTTTCCCTTCTAGGCTATCAACTCCCAGAAGGGCAGGATTATGTCTGTGTTTTCAGAGATTTTTATCTCCAGTGCCCAGCATGGTGTTTGGCCCAGAGGAAATATTCAAAACATTTGGGGAATAAAGGAATGCATGTAGAAAAGCACAACAAAATTCCATGAGTCAAAGAATTTTTAACTTGGTAATTGGGAGCATGATGACAGGAACAGAAAGAGGTAGAAATAGCAATGCTGGAAGAAAAACGATGCTGCAGTTGAATTTGAAGTGATGTCAGGATATCCATGTGGAAATGTTCAGAAGGTCAGTGGAAATATTGGATTGTTTGCTGAAAAATGGCCAGTGTGTGCTCCTTTAATACAGAAAAATTGAGCCGGTAGGCTGAAGTCCTTTGATTTCCAAATTCCATTCAGCAGAGAATACATTTGAGGTCATAGACCCCAGTGTTTTTAATGTACAATAACGAAGAGGCACAGTTACCATTTTTTTTCTCCCCATCCTATGTCAGAAATTTAATATCTACTCTCATGCCGTTTTTACTTTTAATAGAGACTTTTTGGTAAATTAAAATTTTGCCTTTTTCTTTTTAGTATATGAAGTTGTGTCTGGAAAGTCCATTGTAGCAGAAAGGGAAAGAAAATGTATTAGGTTAGAGAATACTTTGTATTTACTAGAGATATTAACATCTCCCTTTTGTTGGCGTGGTTTTGTGTCTACCTTTGGATTCCACAAATATTAATGGCGAAAGAACTGGTATATTTTGTAAATATAGTTTAGTAAACTTTGATGTCACATTGACCTAAACTTGAATTCTGGGTTCACTACTTCCTACCAAGTTGCTTAATGATGCTGGACCTTAGTTTTCTTATCTGTAAACTGGAGTTTCTATTGCCTACTTAACAGATTTCGTGAATTGTAAATGCACATTGCTTTGGGTTGGGAGTAGTGGCCCCACACAAACATGTGTCCACATGTCAGAACCTGGAGATGTGACCTTATTTGGAAAATAAGGTCTTGCAGATATAAGAATCTCAAAATGAGATTATCCTGATCTATCTGGGTGGGCCACACATCCAGTGACAAGAGTTCTTGTTGACACATGGACACAGAGAGTAGAGGAGAAGGTCACGTGAAGACGGAGACAGAGATCTGAGAGATTAGGGAGACTGAGTTGATGCAGCTGCAGGAAATGCTGGCAACCACACGAAGCTGGAAGAAACAAGGAAGGCTTTTCCTCCAGAGCCTCCAGAGGAAGTGCCGTGCCGCCAACACTTTGATTTCGGACTCTGGCCTCCAGATCTGTGAGAGAATAAATATCTGTTGTTTTAAGCCACTGGTTTGTGGCATTTCCTAGGAAATAAATACACACACTTAACTAGTCACTCAGTAAATTCCAGTTCTAGCCTCTCATCCTTATTTAAACCACAACATTCCAAGCCCTCTTGTATGAAAATAAAATAATATGATGGCTAGAAGGATTCCAGGAGAATAGAGGAAGAGGCCACATAAGAATGTTTGTGATGGCCGGGCGCGGTGGCTCAAGCCTGTAATCCCAGCACTTTGGGAGGCCGAGACGGGCGGATCACAAGGTCAGGAGATCGAGACCATCCTGGCTAACACGGTGAAACCCCGTCTCTACTAAAAAATACAAAAAAAACCTAGCCAGGCGAGGTGGCGGGCGTCTGTAGTCCCAGCTACTCGGGAGGCTGAGGCAGGAGAATGGCATGAACCCGGGAGGCGGAGCTTGCAGTGAGTTGAGATCCGGCCACTGCACTCCAGTCTGGGCGACAAAGCAAGACTCTGTCTCAACAAAAAAAAAAAAAAAAAAAAAAAAAAAAAGAATGTTTGTGCATGATACTGGTAAATGAAAAAGTACTTGTGAGACATACGGGGTGCACAAAGAAGAGAGTAATACCAGAGAAAAGAAGATAATGAAAGGGTAAAGCAGAACTCAGAGTATGAAAGAAGGAAAAGCAATGTCACCTCCACCCCAACCCCTGTCCTCCCTGTCTCTTAGGGTCCTTCCTTGGTTGTCACTCAATGCAAACTGGAAGGAAATGAAAGGAGAAGTATTAAGGAAAGGAGAACCACAGATATTTCACACTTGCCCTCATAATGTGTCAATGCTGCTATGTCATAAATCTTCTCAGAGTGGAGAAACTGAGATATGGGGACATTGTCAAGGACACTTTCATTAGGACCAAAGTCTCTTGGCTTCTAATCTTCAATTCTCAAGATTGTACGGTTTCTGCTGGAGATGCAACATCTATCACTCGTTCTTTTCTCTTTTGCTCAGCTGTCAAATGGAAACTTAACAGAAGTATTAGGTATAGCATATGATACTGCAATAATCACAGTAGTTGCAATCCCTGCCACAATACAACATATTTTTGAGTACATTAGTGATTTATCATTTCCAAAGAACATTTATTTAGCAGTAAAGTTATTTTCTATGCATCAGTGGCCCACATGAAAAAATAAAAATAAAACAAACTGAAGTATAAGACTCTTTAAAATATTATTATAAATAATATGCTATGGGGGCATGGTGAGAATGGAAAGAATAACCTTTTCCTGCAGTCCAAACACATGTATTAATAGAACTCCAATAATGGAGTCTACCAAATACCAAGTGATTGCAGATATTTCTATAATTTCTTCAAAAAACAGTATCTTCTTGGGTCCTTGACAATCACAGACTCTGTCCGTGTCTTATCCCTGCAGTTTGAGCAGTGGTTCCAATGGGTCAGGACATGTCTATAGAGTCCCACGAGAAAGAGAATAGTCTCTTGCCAGGTGGTCAATAGTCATCCTGATAAGGTGACATGAAAAGCTGCTACATATGTAACATCGAGTCTTGTTGTTTTGTTTTGTTTGTTTGCTGTTGTAGTCCCACTTGGTGACCCAAAAAGTATCTTCTTCCCCCTAGACCGCTTGTCCACTGCAAGAAAAAAAAGAGATTAGCATTGTGTTTCTAAAGATACTGTAAAGTGATTAAGCACAAAACAGCCAGACCTCAGAAGCCTTTAGTGTAGATCTTGTGTCCAACCTGCTTTTGAATGGAGTCATGGATTTCCGCGGTGGCCTTGGTAGCCTTGGGCCTAGGACTCTCTCCAATGTTTTGGGACATGTAAGTCCCTGGGACTTTTCTACAGTCTAATTCAGAGGGAGAAATGTTTTAAAAAAGACTCTTCTGACCAATCTTGGCAAATGGGAAGCTGAGAACAATCAAGAACTGTGAAATATCCTTTGTTGTTGTGAAACAAAATTCTTAGTTTTAATATTGGCCTCAAAGGCAGAAGTAAATGAACATTTGTCTAGTGTTGTTCCATAGACAGCTATTTAGTTACAGCAGATTCTGTTTGTGAGAAATTTTCAAATAAATTGACTCATTGTTCCCCAGTGGAATAGATCTCCTATACAGCAGTTGTTTCATCCCACAATATTACAAGGAGGGTGCTGCAAGCTCCACCCTTTTCCTGACATTCTGGTGATCAGAGTTAATGACCTGTTATGTGGGACACATGAAATAACAGAGGTTAAAAGTTATCAAAGCGTGCCATGCTTCTGAACAGATTGTGGGAGTTTTGGCAGAGGATGACAGCCCTGATACTCTCCCAGTCACTAGATAAGTGAGCTATGTCCCTGTGTCAGGATGGGAAAGGCAGGTGCCCCAAAGGGTATGACAGATCAAAGTGGTCCAAGTCACCCTGCTCTTGTTAAAGTGTTTTTCCTAAAAGGAAAACTTTAAAACATTAAAAAAAGAAAAAAGGAAAAGAAAAGATGGCATACATTTCCATAAAAGAAAGAGCTGAATAACCTATTTTACCACTAATGTTTCTGCCACGCAGGAGTCCCTATACTTCCTTTGAAGATACATGGAGGGTTTGTAGGAGTCCACGTCTCCCCAGACACTGTGGGCAAAGTTTTGTGCATTTTCTAATGAGAATATTTATAAACTTATTACCACAAAGAGTTGAAGAACCACTTGGATGGAAGGGATCCATTATCTCTCCTCTCTGGTCTACATTTATTAACACTGGGCCCAAGAGGGATAAATTAGTTCTGTGGCTCAATGTAGCAGTGAAAATGAAACCAGGAATCTCTAGACCAGGAGTCCCCAACCTTTTTGGCACCAGGGACCAGTTTCATGGAAGACAATTCTTCCACGGACATTGGGGTGTGGATGGTGGGAGGGGGTTTGTTTAGGGATAAAACTGTTCCACCTCAGATCATCAGGCATTAGATTCTCATAAGGAGCATACAAGCTTAGATCCCTCTCATGTGCAGTTCACAATAGGGTTCATACTCCTATGACAGTCTACTGCCACTGCTGATCTCACAGGAGGCAGAGCTCAGTCAGTAATGCTCCTTTGCCCGCCACTCACCTCCTACTGTGTGGCCCGGTTCCTAACAGACCACAGGCCCCTGTCAGTCCGTGGCCCAGGTATTGGAGACTCCTGCTCTAGACTACCTGTTGAAGTTGACTTTTTGTGTCTTGTGACTCTGTGCTTTCTGGGAGCCATGCATTATGAAAAGTTCCTCACGGTGAAAATTGACTCACTGCAAAAACTCACCTCACTGGATATTCATTGCAATTCTGTGAGAAAACTGTTTTTACCTCCACAGAAAAATAAACTCAGAACAGAGAGGTTTGGTAACTTACCAGAGGCCACAGAGTCAGGAATGAGCAAGCCCAAAGTCCAGCCCCAGGTTTGTGAATTCCAAAGCCTGGACTAGTTCTACCAATCCACTCTTCTCAGCGCTTTCATGTGATAGTTTCACAGGTGTCTCCCATTCCTGCTCAGGTGGATTCAGATTCCCCCAACAGAGGGTTTTGTAAGTACATGTTGGAATTTCTATACTTTTAGTATTCCCTAGTGATTTAGAATCCAGAAAGGAAACATACATGTATCTGATTAGAAGCAGTGGGTGACTGTGACTATTCTAACACGTGGTCTTGTTCACTTCAGCTTAACTTCAAAGAGGGTATAACTGTGTCTACAGGGTGCATGTTCTGGTAACAGATTCAGGTGCCTGAAGGTCAGCTCTAGCTCAGTCACTATCTAGCACTGATGCTTTGGGCATGTCACCTTTCCTATATCTGTGTCATTATCTGCGAAATGGGGGCAATGACCCACCTCCCAGGGCTACAGTGAAAATCAGATAAGATAATTAATTTAAGAAATACTCCGGCTATAACACTGAAGGTGACATTGATAAGACATACAAATATTTTACACAAGGCACCTGACAGAGTATTTTTGGTGCTTAATTTCAAAACAGTGAGCACCCACATTCCTGTCTGATTTGTATTTGTCTCCACAGGTCCCTTAAGAATTCCATAAGCATGAACTACTGAAAAACAAGTAGAAGTATTCAGATCTATGTGGAGGTCATAACACACTCCAACATGCAAACGTATGTGTATAGAGGCGGGTCACCATTTAGAATCTGGGTTGTGAAAGAATAACTAGAAAATCAAATTGTTTTAGTCTGTTTTGGCTGCTATAGCAAAATATCTTACAATGGGTAATTTGTTAACAACAGAAATGTATTGTTCACAGTTGAGGAAGTCCAAGAGTAAGGTGCTAGCAGATTCGGTGTCTGGCAAGGGACTGTTTCTTGCTTCAAAGATGGTGCCTTGTTGCTCATCCTCATATGGAGAAAGACAGAAAAGCAAAAAGAATGAACTCATTCCCTCTAGCCCTTTTCTAAGGACACAAATCCCACCGATGAGGGTCAAGCCTTTATGGCCCGCCCAAAGGCCCCACCTTCCAATGGCCCCATGTCTTAATACCATCCCCTTGAGGTTTAAGTTCTAAATTATGAATTCTGGAGGGACACATACATGAAAACCATAGCACAAATGAATGATGTTACCAGGTAATGATTTATTGTCAGAACTTACAATTTAATTATGAGGAATAATAGCATGAAAAGTATTTACTGTTACTTGTACAATTCAAGGCTTGTTGCAAAGCAAAAAATTTACTAATAGTCATAATCAAAGTAAAAGTCTTTACTTTAAAGGACTAACTCCAAAACTGTGTTCAGCAAGATACTAGTCTCAAGAGGTAGGTATGCAGGCAAATAATTTTGAAACATTTATACTATGCTCATTTCATAAACATTTAGCACATTAAGACTTTGATTGATCCTTAAAGAAATAATTTCATTTAACTATGTTTAAATCAAGATTGCCTCTAGAGTATTTCTTATTTTACTCCATCTGCCACCTTCTTATGAATTATATATACCTAACATTCCATTGAATAAATTTTGGGAAATGCTGATTTGACAATGGAAGAGTAAATGGAAATAATCCATGCTTTGGCTAACTGCTGTTATGTAACTATAGACACAGTAGAATTCCATTATAAGCTAGTAGTTTGTGGGAAACAAAACTACTTTATCAACTTTTGGTGTTGCAGAAGTGGAGACACTCTATACAAAAATAGTCTTTGGGTACATATGACACTGGGTCTCTTTAATGAATATGTAAAGAGTCCCAATAAATAGAAAAATGGTGAAAAACTGATGAATTAACAATTAAGGAGTACAAACACAAATATCATTTAAACATGTCTAATAATAAATACAAATTAAGAATAGCAGGTACAATGTTCACTTATCAGATTCTTAAAAAATACTATAATAATCTATTGGAAAGAATGTGGAGAAAATGATACTTCCATCCATTGTTGAGGGAAATATAAATTAGCATGATGTCTACAGAGGGTGTAACGGACTGAATGTTTGTGTACTCTCAAAATTTACATGTTGAAATACTACTCCCAATGTGGTAATTTTTGGAGGTGAAGCCTTTGGGAAGCAATTTGCTCATGAGTGTGGAGCATTCATGAATAGGATCACTGCTCTTATGAAAAAATGTGAGAGGCCAGGCATGGTGGCTCACACCTGTAATCCAAACACTTGGGGAGGCTGACACCAGAGGATCACTTGAGGGTAGGAGTTTGAGTCCAGCCTGGGAAGCATAGTGAGACCCCTGTCTCTACAAAAAATAAAAGAAAATTAGCTGGGTGTGGTGATGTGAGCCTGTAGTCCCAGCTACTCTGAAGACTGAGGCCAGAGGATCACTTGAGCCCAGGAGTTCAAGGCTGTAGTGAGCTATGATTGTGCCAATGCTTTCTCACCTGAAGGAAAGAACGAGACTCTGTCTCCAAAAAAAAAAAAAAAAAAAAAAAAAAAAGGAAGACATAAGAAACCTGCTTTTCTCTTTCTCTATTCCATGTGAGGATACAATGAAAAATTGGTGGTCTGCAGCTTAGAAGAGGGCTCTCAGTAGAACCACACCAAATTCTATGTGTCCTTCAGGCACATGTAACTTATTAACATAACTATCACTCTTAGATTGAATTGGATGTTAGATGTTACTAATGGATCATTTGGGAGGTTTAAAAATAATGATAAACCATCTTCAATTTAATACGGGGTGGAGATTTTTCAACAGAGGAACTGCTGAAATAATAAGGCCGAAAATCGAAGCCGTCGAAGGTTCTCTTTTCTAGAGCTTGAAAGGATAAAGGAACCTTTCTCACCTGTTACTTTATCCCTCCTTCCCAGATGTTCAGTGGAAGTAAACAAAAGTACTGGTTTTTTAAGACTTACTATGAACTGGGAAATGGCAGTCACTGCCATTATTTCATTAGGGAAAAGATTACATCATTAGCCCTGGACACCTGAGGGGGAATGTTCTCCCTTTTGGTATAAAACTGTTCATTACAGAAGGGAATCTAATGTAAATTCCCAGTAGCCAAATTATATCACTTAAGACAGGAACCTTTCCTTTAGGAAGTCTCACTTTTGTTGCAAACCGAGACAAAAAATTCAATAAGAAACAAATGTCCAGTGGCTTTGGGGTTTGTAATCTTTCAAGACTGGCAGGTCTGCTTGTGTTTGAAGATCAGCCTAATGGGTATAAAGGTCACTGCGCTCAAATAGCTATAATTAAGAGAAAGGAAACAGTGATCTTGTTAGATCACAGGGAAATGGCTGGGCTCTGCAGGATTTCTTTTTTATTCTATATAATTCAATCTTTGAAGGCAAAGGACAACAAGGTATATGTGGACATATGTGTGAGACAATATTTCTATTGATAACATTGATTCAATTTAAAGACAACCTAAGCCTTATTGGAAGTGAGTTCATTTAGTCTAGTTCAGGCAAATTCCAGCCATTTCTTAACTGAAATAACGCAATATTGGTGGTTCTGCCTGTAAGCTCTTCCCTCCCGTGGATAGTTATACCTTTATTGTTATTTGTAGTAATTGGCTGAAGCTTATACAGACAAAAAAAAGAAAAAGAACAGAGGATGAGTTTATAATTTAACATTACAAACTCATTACTAGATGAAAGCAAATACTAATGTAACTCATTTATAAACCCAATGTTATGATTCAATGAGTAATGAATGAAACAGTTGGATACTCTTTCTTTGTCCTCTGTTTGAAACATATAAATTTTGGTAAAGGACAGATAATGTGGTTCAGTGGGAACACTGTCGGATTTTGTGCCTGCGAGAATGGATTATCATCCCTATTCTGCCGTTTGGTAGCTGAATGACCCTGGGCAATAACTGGATTTTGTTGGCTTCTGTTTGTTCATGACCTAAGAGAGTTGGACTACATGATCCCTAAAATTTGTTCCAGCTATAAAATTCTATGATTCTAATTAAAATTAACCAGTGAAGTTTGCATGCCAGCAAATCACAGCAAAAAGATGGACATGCTATTACAGACTCTTGCTTGAAACTTGCCACCTAAGAGAAGTTGTGCAGTAGCTAGTAGCATATTAATCATTTTGTTCTATGAATAAAGTTTAGGGTTCTTAACACTGAGAACTGAAAGTTTAGCAAACTGGTGTATATAATATTTATAGTTTAAAGTGACAGGAAACTGTCACCAATATGTCTATGTGAAATTATTTCTGTTAGACCAGGTCCCCTAGTGAAAATAATTCATTTGTTCTTTCAGTCTGCATCATTTCCCTCTTAGGCACTACCTCAGGACCTCCCAGGCTCACCTGTTTCAGAGCTTGCCTTAGGATTCTTGCCAGGTAATTTACAGAGGGAGTACTTTGGGGGTAAAACCTGCAACAGAGTGAAGGAGGCAAGGCAAGTGAAATAGGACACGTAGATCTGCTTCTTGAAGAACCTAGGCTAACACATATTCTAATCAAATTTTAAAACTATAACTCGAGCATATTTATGTATTAAAGCATAGCTTTCTCTAGCTCCTGAATTATCCATTCCAAGAAGAAGACAAAACATTCTGATTTCACACCGTACCCCAGAGCGCTTTGTAGTAGCTACTAGAGCTAGACACAGGTCTGAAAGAAAGAAGCTTCATGCTTTTTCTGTTGCTAATTAAACTCTGCTAAGAAATGTGAGCTCCCTTTGAATCAATCCAAGACCCCACTCTGTAAATATAAAGGAATATATAATTACCAGGTGCTTTTCATTAAGCTAAGAATGATTTAAAGTTTAAAGTCAAAGCCTTTACCTAATAATTCACACAAAATGAGCTTTTAGTGGGGCAGTGTCCGCACCAGAAATTCAACTTGCCCATCTGGAAAATAAAGATTGTAAAAATCCAAAATAGAGGAAATGTGACTCAACCATTGAAATATCATTCCAAGGTTGCAGGACTGTGAGGAGAAAGCCTGCTATCTCAGGAGGCTCCAGAGGATACCATTCCTTGTAACAGCATCTTGGCACTGTCTGGAGGCCTGTTCCACAGTCTTACTGGTCCAGACACATACATTGTCAGCACCCTAAAAGTAAACACATTTCTTAGGAGCAGCTACATTGACTGAGCTCCCATGGCTAATATAAAAGAGCAGAATGCTCATTGATTCCTACATATTGAAAGTCACAGATGGATGACAAGGCTGAAGGCCTTAGTCCTGAGCCACTCTCTCTCTGTAACATTTAGGAAGCCATATGACAATCACAGAGTTGCTTTGTGAGCAAGAAGTAAAGCAAGAGAGCGAATGAAAAGAAACACTAGCTGACTCTGTTGGTAACCTGCGGCATGTCCCCGGGGCTGACTTCTGAATTCCTTGCCCCTGTGGTGGGCAGTTTCAGGTACCCCGTGGAATGCTTCCCACTTTAAATGCCTGCTTCTCTCTGTTTCCTTGCTGGAGTGCTTCCTTCCCTAGCAGAATGGGCTTGCTTAGCCACAAGTCAGAACAATTCTGAAGAGCCAAAGACTTGTTACTGCTGCCCTTGTGATGGGAGTCCATGGAAAAATGCCCCAGGCTCTCTGTCCTGCTGAAGCTCAATTCTAAGATACATTTTATATGGTTTCTCAGAAGGTGCCCAGCCAAGTCGGAACCTCATTTGTCCACACTGATAACCTATTTATTATTGTACCCTTCACTGGCTTTTCTCCCTGCTAGGGCTGCCAGGAAACCCAGCTCAGTCTGAATTTCAGATAAACAGTGGAAAATTTATTTAGTATAAGTATTTCTCATGCAAGGTTTGGGACATATTTGTACTAAAAAGTTACTGGTTTTTTATCAGAATTTTAAATTTACTGGGCTTTCTATATTGTTATTTGCTGGATCTGGCAACTGTGTTCTCATTTTCCAATTCCTTTACTTCCCAAGATCACCTCTCAAATAAACTAGTCTCAGGTCCTGTTTTTGGGTGAATTCAAACTAAGACAGAATCCAATTTTTTTTCACTTCTCTGAATCAAAGACTGATAACTCCTCACACAGTATCATCCTCCCCTTTCCACCAATCGACTCCTAATTTTTTTCTGGATGGATTTGCTACTAGCTAAAGCCCACATTTTCAATCTTACCTCAGTTAATGACATGAAGGCAGAAGTCTTTAGGTAACACTTAAAATAAGCCAGCTGAATTAGGGAGCTGCTTAGGGATATATGACCTTTTATCTTTCCTTTTACTGCCTGTGTAGAATGTAAATATAATAACTGGAGGTCCAGCAGCCATCTTAGACATAAGGCTAATTTTAGGACTGAAAGCATGCACTAAGAATGTATAATGAAAATACAGGAGACTAAGTTCCTGATGATTGTAGAGTTAATAAAATAGACCAGAACTGCCTACCTCTGAATTTTCTCTACATATGAGAAAAAGAACTTCTAATTTCTTTGAATTTCTGAAATTGAGTTTCTGTTGCTGATAGTTGTGTGTAGTTTCTAACTGATAAAATTACTGTGGGAACCAGGAATTTTTTTTTCCCCCAACAGAATCAGAATTCTTCCTTTAGATGTCATGTTTTCAGGAAGGTCTTTTCTGATTGTCTTATCTAAAATGACACTAAGCGCCACTTACTTCATTTCTCTCCATCCTTTGTTCATATACTTACTTCATAATGTCTACTTTGAACATTTATTGTAGGGCTAAGTGAAGTAACATTTATAATTGCCCAGCACAAAGTAAGCAAGTTATAAATGGTATTCACTATTATGCCCATCTTCAAATGAGAAACAAAAGATCAGGAGGTAAATATCAGGTTACCTTAAGTTTGTGGTCACCAGAAAATGAGTGTTTGCCACAACGACTCTTTACAGATATCAGTGAAAGTATTTGCTGCCTTAGAGTCTTAATCAACAATGGTAGACTTTTCTGCAATGGATTATTTGCACATGCACTTGAAAAGAAGGTGAAACTGTACTGAAATTAAAAATAAAAGGGCATTATGTATGTAACTTTCAAACCATTCAGTAAAAAATTATAGATTGGGTCGGGTGCAGTGGCTTACACCCGTAATCCCAGCACTTTGGGGGGCCGAGGTGGGTGGATCACAAGGTCAGGAGTTCGAGACCAGTCCGGACAACATAGTGAAACCCCATCTCTACTAAAAATGCAAAAAATTAGCTGGGTGTGGTGGTGTGTGCCTGTAATCCCAGGTACTCAGGAAGCTGGGACAGGAGAATTGCATGAACCCCGGGAGGCAGAGGTTGCAGTGACCCAAGATCATGCCATTGCACTCCAGCCCGGGCAACAGTGCAAGACTCTGTCTCAAAAACAGAAAAAATTATAGATTGATAGATAAGATAAATAGATAGATAGATTGATGGATTGATTAATTCAAGCAATGGTAAAGCAGTGGGGACAAAATGTTAACTGTACGAGAATCTGGGTGAAGGATAATGAGCATTCCTTGTATTTGTCTTGTAATTTTTCTTTAAGTTTGAAATTGTTTCCAAATATGAGGTTAAACAAAGTATGAGGAGTCTTCTAATAATTTAGGAATCACTGATCTAGTTTAGTCACTAATTTATAGATGAGGAATCTGAAGCCCAAAAGACCTGCTCAAGTACTCAAGTGCTCGGTCACTATGTGACTGGGTCTCACAATATTCAACATTTGTGCAAATATACCTTGCAACTCAAAACACAAAAATACTTTTAAGTTTATATAATACATGCAGCATCACATCCACAATGCTATTCCCCTATATTTATGCAAATAACATTGATTTAATTCTATACTTTTTAAAATATAGCATTTATTTTGTTCACAAACTTCAGACCAGCTCTGAACTTCCTTATGTTTTTCACCTTAAGAGAAGCTTCCTTCTGTTGTGCCCCAGCTATTTATTTTGGATATATTAGAAGTGTAAAATAACCTTGCCTTAGGATACATTGATGTTCCATGGGATTGGGGGGTGGAATCTCTACCTCTTGCAGCTGTTTGAAGGGGTAAGTGGGGTGGGGTGGGAGTGGGGAGGGTGGGAGCTAACCACTCTTTCTTCAGGGTTTCCATCTATGCTAAACAGATTTTCTTGCTTCTTTTCTGTCTCTGTTTTCTGGTGTTTTTTAAAATAGCTTTGAAGGAATGGAAAATTTCTGTGGTAGCTGATAGCAAATACAGAAAGGTTCATTTGCATATAGATATTTCAGCTTGCAACTGCATAATCCCCTGAGAGAGGCCTTGTTTAAATGGGCAGGCAGGCTGGCACAGGGCTGCCCGGTTCCTAATGAAAACTAAATCGAAACTCGGGAAACATTTGCCTTGGAGGTGGCCAGGCTTTTTAGAGTATCAATTTAAATCTGAAAGATGCAGGCAGGCCTGTGCCAAGTTGCCCCTCAGTCTTTAAAATCCTTAAGACAGAAGGTAGAGGAAAAGGGTGAGAAAACAATAAATAATTGGGTAAAACTCGAGCTAACCAATGTGCCTCTTTTACTTAGAAATTGTGCCTGAAGAATTCAAATCACTGAGCAGGTGGGACAGTGAGGAAGAGCAGGGAAGAGAATGTGGAGACTTCATCTATTCTGGAAAGGCCTTGGAAACAGAAAGGCTCTTTTTCAGGTATCTTGGTGAGCCAACCCTCCTGAGACAACTGGTAATCCATTTATAGGCTAAAGACTTTTCGGATTGAATGTTCCCCTGAACTTGACTGAGGGCTAAGCAGATAAGGACAACTCTGAAAACAAGATAATGTGGAAAGAAAAGAGATTACAAAAAGGTCAAAAGATTAGCTGGGGGATAAGAAGAAGTCAGAGGAAAATAAGGGAAAAGGTTAGAAACTGATACCAAGCAAGGCAGATAAATCAAGTTAGCAAGTGAAAGAAGTGAACACAGCAGGAAAATAAGAAATGGGATCGGGGAATTGGCCACAGGATGAGAGGAGTACAAGGACAATTAAAAGTAAAAATGCAAGAAAACAAAAGAACTGATAGCGTGGATGAAGGAAATATAATAAAAATATCAAACTGAATATCTCTAAGGCTTCTATGTCTGAATCTAATGAGAATTAGTGTGTTAAAATTTACTTTTCTCTCAGAAGAAGTAATGTGCCTTTGTCATTATTATCAAAAACATCGTTTTCCTTTGATGAAACTCTATTTTATAATCTTTTTGATTCGACATCTGGAATTAAGTGTAATATCCTCACTCATTAGCTAAAGCATCAGAGGATTTGATCAAGTTTTTGATAAACAAATATCTTAAAGAAATCTTTAAAGTAAGTGTGAGAAAGATAATAATACTTTCCCCAACACACACACGTGCTCACAAACACATGCATGCATGCCTGTGCATATCCACACACATGCAAGCTCACTAGATACAGAGTATATAAATAATTAAGTATGTACTGCCCACAAGTTAGAAATCAGATTTATTCTACAGTGACATGCAATACAAATGAATAGTTACTGAGTGCCGGTTATATTGTAGGTTAATGCTGAGGTGGTGAACTTGACTGACAGTCTTTGTGCTCACAGTTTGCAGTCTAGTGTGACAATAAATAAATAATTAAATATAATCTTTATAGGAAAAGGAAAAAAATAGAATTGAGAGACAATGACATTTGCTATCTATAGCATCCCATTCAGAGAAAATAGAACCTAAACTTGGAAGAATTTTTGTTTACTTACCTTAAAGAGAGTACATTCATGCACTTCATAATGATGTTTCAGTCAAAGATGGACCACACATCTTATGGTGGTCCATAAGATTATAATGCTTTATTTTTACTGTACCTTTTCCATATTTGTATCTACTTAGATACAAAAATACTTAAAATTGTGTAAACATTTAAGGCAAATGCAATTCCCTACAGTATCCAATACAGTAACATGCTATACAGGTTTGTAGTTTAGGATCAGTAGGCTATGCCACATAGCCTACGGATGTAGTACGTTATACCACCTAGGTTTGTATAAGTACACTATGGTGTTTTCACAATGACAAAGTCACCTCATGTTGCATTTCTCAGGACCTATTGCATGATTGAGCAACACGTGACTGCATAAAGCAATGTGGATGCCAGATTACAGGAGCTAAATTATTTTGTATATAAAATGGGTAAAGAAAGCAGTTCCCAGGGAAGATGCTGAAATAGAGAGAGTGGAGATGGAAGGGCTTTGTTGGAAAGTCTGTAAGATTGAAGACAAAAGGGATCTGGGAGATCTGAAAAGAAAACCCATGCTGTGTAATGTAAATCCTTTTTTCTTGCCCCATTGCTAAACCTCCAGAAAAATCCCCCCCCCCCCATTTTTTTTAAACCAAGGTCCAATGAAGTAGATTTTCCTTTGGGAATGAAGAGAATTGCTGAATTCTGCCCAAGGTTGACTAGGGAGAATCACACCCACCCATAAGGTAGCATCTGTTATGCAAAAAGTAAAAGAAAAGTGAGGAGAATATGACAAGTTCAACACTTGCTTATTTAGTACTTACTCTGTCTTAGGCCTCCTGGGAGGGTCTGGGGTTAAAATGGTAACAAGCCAGTCCCTATGCTCAATAAGCACATGATCTATGGGACTTAAACAGAAAAATATTTGATCTCTTTTTCAATCCGTCTTTCATGGATCCAAGACTTTCAAAAACAAAGTAAAATAAACAAGCAAACTATGTTTAACCAAGTACAGAATCTAAGTATCTATAGTTAAATGCATTGTGTGCTAATTATACGTCAGATGTTATGTTGAGCTCTTTATATGAAATCTGAATTTAACCCTCATTACCAATTCTTGACGTAGTTTTTAAAATTATCTTCTTTGTATAGATGAAGAAACTGGAATGTACATCTATTAAGTAATTTTCCAAAATCATGATTAATAAATGACAAATCTGAGACTGAACCTACATCTGTTTCATACCAAAGCCCATGGGCTTAAAAACCTTATGGCCATTTTTGAAATTTAAGAGAGAGTACCTTAAACATTAAGGGAAGAGAGCATGTATGCAAAAGAGAGAGGAGGGAAGGGAGCCAAACTTACCCTTTTTATCAGAAACCCACTTCCATGATAACAACATTAATCCATTCATGAGGACAGAGCCTTCATGACCTAAACACTTCTGAAAGTTCCCACCTCTTAACACTGCTAAATTGGGGATTAATTTTCCAACAAATGACCTTTGGCACATTCAAACCATGACACTACTTTAACTACTTTATTATTATTCACCAAAGGAGAAGTACTAAATTTTATACTGACAAACAACTCCAATTGAAGTTTACAAGGGTAATGTCTATAATATGCCCATGAAATAATTTTTAAGATGCATTTAATTATGAAACTGTTTGGCTGTTGGTTGTGATATTACCAAGAGAGTCAAGTGGATTTTTCACTTAGGTGTTTTGGTGTAGTTGATGTAGAAAATCATTGCAATTAACAATGCAAATTCAATCCTGACTGTCAAATATTATGTTTTTGTATGGCACATAACCTCAGCATATTATCAAATTTGGCTCTTTTGTTTGTAAAAATATCGTTTGAATATGACAAATAGTCACATATTGCTTGTGCTTAAAAGAAAGAAGGAAGAAAGGAAAGAAGGAAGGGAGGGAAGGAGGGAAAAATGAAGGACTGAAGAAAAGTAAATGGACTTCTTTGGATTTTGGATTGGACCTTCTTACCTTTTCTTTTACTAGTTTACTTGGTGTACTTTTGTCCTTGTCACGAATTCCAAGACACTCCAACACCAAGACAGATTTCTCCTCTGGTATAGCAAACATTAAAAAAAATTGTTAAATATTTATTATTAAACCAAGCAATGAAAGGCAAGATGAAATGTATATATTACATAATATTCTCCTATAAGGGAAAGAAGCTAGTAGAAGAGAAAAACTTTCTCTCAGGCACTTTAATAACTATTGGACTAAAGTCACTCATTCCTCTCAGGCACACTGCATTTTGGTTGACCTTGTGGAATGTCTATTTGATGGTTTTCAAAATCACTTATCCATGCAGTTTTGGCACTTCTGTGCTGTGTTAGCAATCTCAATTTTGTATTAGATTTTACTTCAATCTTTTGTGTAGGTCCTGAATTTCCCCTCCTCTTCCCCATCAAAGTACAT